GCCGTCGCCTGCACGGCCAAGGAAGCTGGCCTCTTCGGCGACGGCACGCCATTGCTCAAATCGAAGACGGGAGCCGAGTGTATCGACAATAGGGAGCCCAGCTGATTCTGTTGATTCATATTCTCGTCGATGACGGTCGTGCCGACCATCTCCTGCGACGCTGTCGCACAGGCGACAGCATCACGCTCAATCGAATCCTGCAAGCTCCATTCTCGTGGTAACGACATATTTCCGTGGCTTCGTTTGTGCAAGGAGGACCGTAATACATTGGAGTTACGTTGCTTTCACGTTCTCCGTTTGCTTCCCTCGGCAAACTGTATCCCGCACGTTTCGCAACCACCTCTCGTACACTAGCACCCTGAAGAAGATACCCTCTCGGACTTCCGGACGATGTCTATCTACCTAGCTGCCTGTGGGTACACCCTTCGTGCTGGTTCGACGCCGCTCTCGCCCCCTCCTGTTGCCCTTACCCGCTGCCCAGTTGGAAACCTTGCGGCAATTTGCTTACCATCGACCTGGCCACCCCCTAACGAATTTCTCGTTACCTGCCGATCGACTTCCTTCTCACCATTTACACGTTCTCCAAGGTTCTCCTGACTCTGTCGTAGGGTGCTTGGTAAATAACTGAGATGAAAAAGGTGCGCACGCAGAGGAGGTCGCCACCGAATGGAAACTTACAAGATCGATAGGAGAACACAACTGACGCACTGGCATCTCGTGGTAGTCACCACCACGTGCTTTTCCAACAATGCCTATACAGTTTATTGTCCTGCGGTCGACCCACTTTTTTTTCGCTTCGACCTCGACTCTTTAATCGCATACACCCCTCGAATCACTGCATTATGGACCGGTCCTCCGCAAGGCCCAGCCTTCGCGTGTCCTTTCTACTTTTACTCAAGATCGTCCTCAACGTCATTGTAGGGCAATTATCAGGGCTGGGTTAGATATCGAACAAGATAAAAGGGAGGGGTACTACAGAAACTTTTCATGGACATTATGGATCATACTTTAAAATGTTCAGACTATGGAATTTCAAAGCTTGGAACTTTTTAAAGACTCAATATTTAAAAATTTTTAAGTCCCAAATACAATAATTCTGAAATTTCAAAGTCTTAAATTTTAAACATTTCAAAGACTCAAAGTTCAGAACTTTCAAACAAAAATTTTACTCTCTACCATTTCTAAAAGCAAGGTTTAATGTGTTGAACTAGGTACACACGTGATATCAAGATCCATTAAGCATTTGGGGCCTCAAAAATTTTTAACCCGTCCCTGAAGATTACATTGGCATGCAAGGACGAAAACGGAACAGCGTGTACAATAATTGGTACAATCTTTTAAAAGTTCGTGGACTTAATTATCGATGTTGCTTATAGCAAAGTATAATTAAATTGTTAATCAATTTCAGACGTCATTAAGCTGTTTTATCCACAGATGAAACAGTCACGAAAAGAGTTTGTCCTTTCAATGACGGATTTGTAAAAGGATATAGATAAATTTTGTCCCCTCTGGATCGGAAAAACGACATAAACACCCTAAAATCGTAATAGTGGGGACGGATTCTGTGCGCAGCATCCGAACGGATCAATGAATCTCTGACTTCTGTCTCGCAGATCCACCTTCGCGGTCGACGTTAACGTTGAGTCCGTTTATAACACCATCGAGAGATAAGGGCGTGAATGACTTGAAATGAATTGTCAAGTAGTTTGTACATACCCAAAAATTACGTGAACGTTCAGTGACTGATGCGGTACGTTCCAAGTTTTAGATTTTCTAAAAAACAGTATATAATTTTAATTTATTCTCTGTTCATCTTATTAACATTATTACGTAAATATTAAAATTAATTGTGTATAAAGATGTCAGATATAATTTGCAATAAGAATTATGTATGATTAGAGTCGTACATTAAAGAATTCGTGTTATTTTTTGAATGTATATAATTCTTGCCGTGCACTTATTCAATGAAAGCTCTTAAAATCTACTTTACATCATAGATCGAATTCCATAATGAGGCAACACGATCGGACCGCATTATTCCTAGTGCTGATTGTCCTGAACGAGCAGGTGTACAATGGACTCACCGAGAACCAGTTCAACAATCCAACCTTCTTTAGGATCGGCGGTGTTTTTTCCAACAACGAGAGCATAGAATATTTCCGGGAAACGTTAAGCGTAAGTAATGATCTCTACTCGATTCGAACTCTGCGACACAGAATTATTTTCTATTCTATAATATCACAGTGATATTTTCTCCCATATATGTATCCGTTTCTCCCGACATCGTTTCACAAATTTTTTAAAATATTTCTTAATTGGGTCGCAAACGTCTCACTTTCTTTTGTAAACAATTAAGCAAAGTGAAACGATGTGGAGTTCAAATACAACCGGTAATCGAATCGTTCGTGGCCATGTAAATGATATTTACCCGCTGCACTATATGCTTACCTTTTATCGAAGTATTACTCATTGTTCATTCCAATGTTTAATCGATTTTTCAGACTCTGAACTTGAACTCGAAATATGTCAATAAAGGCGTGACCTACAAGCACACGGTAATTGAAATGGATTCGAACCCAATTAGAACAGCTTTGAGAGTTTGCACCAATTTGATAGCGGAACAAGTGTACGCCGTGGTTGTGTCTCATCCGCTTACGGGTGATTTATCGCCAGCTGCTGTTTCTTATACCAGCGGATTCTATCATATTCCCGTTATTGGTATATCGTCGAGAGACTCTGCTTTCTCAGACAAAGTGAGTTGATCAGCGATAAATTCGTCTGTGGAAATACTTGCCAAGCGTAAACGAAAAACTTGCCAGTAATTTTATGAAAAATAACGAAGTTTTAATGTTCAATCTGCGTAGAGATTTAATTCGTTATAAGTTCGTCTGCAGATTACGTGCAAATAAGATTAACGATAATACTTATTGCGTCAGCATCACATTATCGGTATTATTACGTTCAATATCTATATCACATACCTACGTTCTATGATTCTTAAAGCGCGAGACTTAGAGACTTCAAGACATTAGAATTTCAGAGTTTTTAAAATTTGTTTATTTTTGAGCTAAACTGCTTTAAAATTTTATATGCAAAAGAAGTCTCAAACATGTACAACCGTATATCTCGAATATACAGTTCATTAATAATGGAACATCCTTTTGCAGAACATTCACGTTTCCTTCTTAAGAACCGTACCACCATATTCGCACCAGGCGGACGTATGGGTGGAACTATTGAAACACTTCAACTACATGAAAGTGATTTTCATTCATAGTTCTGATACTGATGGTCGAGCTCTACTTGGGCGTTTCCAAACGACTTCTCAGAACTTGGAGGACGATGTGGAGATCAAGGTTCAGGTACGAAATCCTGTTGTAACAATGAAAATTTTAATAGCAATTGTTTATTAGTCTGATATCAATTGTCTATTTTTTAGGTAGAATCTGTTATCGAATTCGAACCTGGACTTCAAAGCTTCATGCATCAGTTGATAGACATGAAAGGCGCGCAAGCTAGGGTTTGCCTTTTGTACGCTTCGTAAGTGTCTTGAAGATAATTCGAATATATTTAATGTCTCTTTACATTGAATTGTGTGTTTTCAATGTTATATCACATGTGTATTTGTACATGTATGTATATGTATCTGTGTATTTATTGATTGCAGGAAGACAGATGCGAGCGTGATCTTCCAAGATGCTGCGGCTCTAAACATGACCGGTGCAGGATACGTGTGGATCGTGACGGAGCAAGCCTTAGATGCGCCGAACGCACCGGAAGGTCTTCTCGGCTTGAAATTAATTAACGCTGAGAAAGAAAAGGCGCACATCATGGATAGCTTGTCAGTTCCTTTCCAATCGTACATAGACATCCACGCATGTATGTTACACATCTATAGCTCCCCGTCTATAACCGCTGAAGCAAATATCAAGGAATTCTACGCATGAGAAGACTCGAATATAATTCTAACAACACCTATCTTCTTTCGTGACTTTTCCTCTGATATAAACATACTATCGCATGCACTTATACAGTAACATGCACATCTCTATTTCACTGCGATGTACAACTGATTTCAGATCACTGGATCACTGCATACCCCTTTAGTAGATCCTCCAATCTGTCCAGTGGATATTCTGTGTTGCGTACACCAAAACGCTGTGCTTTAAACGTTAGGATATACGTGTACCGAGTATCGTTGCTCTAGACGACAGAGATAACATACTTATATTATTTCGTTACTTTGTCTCTTAATCAAAACTTCATTTACTCTGTAAAACTAATAGGATTCTAAAGCAACGAGTTCACTTTTACAGATTCACTTTTACAGAAATGTACATATTTTTTAGTACTAAGCAAGTCTATTTTTAATTAACTAAATATAGTAAAGGTTAAGGTTAAAGGTTACAAAAGCCTGCCAGCGAGTAATCATTAAATCCGAAAGAGTTTGTCAAGTGTTTCATTAAACTTCATAACAACTTTACGAGTGTCTTCGTTCTAATGAGCTATTCGTTTCAGGGTAGTGCTTGTATCTGCTTTACGGAAGATGAACGAGACGAAAGAGATCACAGAGGCACCTAAGAACTGTGGAGACTCGGGTTCCATATGGGAAACCGGAAAAAATCTGTTCGAGTACGGTTTATCTTTATTATACCATTGTTAATTCTAATTTAAGCTTCATTTAATTACTTTCTTCGAACAATTAGATTCATCCGGGAGCAAGTGTTGATTGATGGAGCTACCGGCAGAGTAGCCTTTGATGACAATGGAGACCGTATTTACGCCGAGTATGACATTATCAACATCAAGGAGGATGGCGAACATGTTTCCGTCGGGCAGTACTTCTATCCATCTGTAAATGATCAACTATAATTTTTCCTGAAAAGTATGGAGACGTGGATGAACTTTATTACGCACATTTTTATTTATAGAATGGTACCAAAATGAAGTTAAGCCTTAACGAGATGAACATAACGTGGCCTGGTCGAGTAGCAACCAAACCGGAGGGTTTCATGATTCCTACGCACTTAAAAGTGCTCACAATCGAAGAAAAGCCTTTTGTTTACGTCCGCGAAATCGCGGACAGTGAATCTTGCCTACCAGAAGAAATATTATGTCCACATTTCAATGTCACTGATCAGCAAAGTAAATATTTAAGAAATTTTACGATAATCAGCTGTAAAAATATGTATCGTTTTCATTGCTGATTAAACACGTCTTTTACAGGCACAAAAAGATACTGCTGTAAAGGATACTGTATGGATCTGTTGAAACAACTGTCGAAAACTATTAATTTCACCTACAGTTTGGCTCTGTCGCCCGATGGACAGTTCGGCAGCTACATAATCAAGAACAGTTCAGGTGCGAGATGTAAACGATGATAGAACAATTGTAGATGTAAGACCTCGTTTCGGTAAAAAAGAATGAGATACTTTAACACATTCGTGCCCACTTGAGTAAATCATAAACTTTAAATCGTACGAGCTGCGTGACTACAAGTTAAATTGTTACTCGTTAGATCACTACGTGTTGTATCACGTGTTATGTCTTTTTATCTCGGCTGTTTCTATTAACCTGGGCTTGAACGTGTTAATACGAGAAAAAAAGAATCAACGTCTCATTATGAATAAATTGATGTTGCAGTTGGAGGAAAGAAAGAATGGACAGGCCTAATAGGAGAGCTGGTGAACGAAAGAGCGGACATGATAGTTGCCCCCTTAACGATCAATCCTGAACGCGCTGAGTTCATTGAATTCAGTAAACCCTTCAAATATCAGGGTATCACTATTCTCGAAAAGAAGGTACATCCTTTATAAATCGTTCTGAAAGACTTTATCAATGGCTTAGTTCAACTGATGTAGGCAGATTAGATTCAAAAGGAAAGCTCCCTTAGATACGCATTGTTAAAATTAATACATAGACACAGTGAGAATAGACATAATAAGTTGTTTAAAATGTTCCTTTCTCTTTTAATTACTTGAGTATGTCAGTCATTCACAGTATTCACATCAATAAAAAGTCATTCAGCAGATTAATGAAGGAACCTCTCAATTTCCAGCCATCAAGATCCTCGACGCTGGTGTCGTTCTTGCAACCGTTCAGCAACACCCTGTGGATTCTGGTGATGGTGTCGGTGCACGTAGTGGCTCTAGTTCTGTACCTCCTCGACCGGTTCTCGCCTTTCGGGAGGTTCAAGCTAGCAAACACTGACGGTACCGAAGAGGATGCCCTGAACTTATCTAGCGCCGTCTGGTTCGCTTGGGGAGTCCTCCTCAACAGTGGAATAGGAGAAGGTCCGAAGGTTTCTAAATTTCTAGATCTAGGTCCCTATATTTCTAGATTACTCCTATATTTCCAGGGTTATTCCAGAGCACCTTCCTATATCTCTAGGTTCCTCAAAATGCCTGTGTCCGTAGTTTATATTAAGCTCCGTAGCATTATCTTGTTGAGTCAAGCGGTTAAATCGATTAATCACGAATGGATACGTAATCGGGTAAAAATACCTTTATCGTCACGCTCGTCGATAGGTTATTACAATAGCCGAGACCTCTTTTGTTGGCTGTGTATATTTTCGTTAAAGCGATAATGAAAATTGTGTAACAGGTACTCCGCGAAGTTTCTCTGCTCGCGTGTTGGGTATGGTGTGGGCAGGATTCGCAATGATTATCGTAGCCTCGTACACTGCCAACCTGGCTGCATTCTTGGTGTTGGAGAGGCCGAAGACTAAGTTAACCGGTATCAACGATGCTCGAGTAAGAACGAAAGGTTGAAATACATGTCGTATCAAGATAAAATAGTTGAAAATGTATGAATGTATGTGTTTAGCTTAGAAACACCATGGAGAATCTTACGTGTGCCACGGTGAAAGGCTCTGCCGTGGACATGTACTTTCGACGACAGGTCGAACTATCAAACATGTATCGCACAATGGAAGCTAACAATTATGACACTGCCGAAGAAGCTATTAGAGATATTAAAATCGGGTTAGAAAACATTATGAATATATACATGAAACATTGTTTAAAAATATATATGTAATTGTTGAAGAATTAACGGGATAAAGGACAATATGTTTGCAGAAAACTTATGGCATTTATTTGGGACAGTTCCCGATTAGAATTCGAGGCCGCACAAGACTGTGAACTGGTAACTGCTGGAGAACTGTTTGGACGATCCGGTTATGGTATCGGTTTGCAGAAAGGCTCTTTATGGGCTGATGCGGTAACCATCGCTATTTTAGACTTTCATGAAAGTAAGAGTCCAATATTAGAAGCACAGTCTCTAAATCAGTGATATAACAAGATATAAATGTGCAGGTGGTTTCATGGAAAGCTTAGACGATCATTGGATCTTCCTCGATAATAGACAGCAATGCGAACAACTTGAGAACACTCCGAACACCTTAGGTTTGAAGAACATGGCTGGAGTGTTCATAGTTGTCGGAGTCGGAATCGTTGGCGGTATCGGGCTAATCATAATCGAAGTGGCATACAAAAAGCACCAGATTCGCAAACAGAAAAAGATGGAATTAGCAAGACACGCCGCCGATAAATGGAGAGGTGCGATCGAGGTAATGCTTCCTTTTTTTCTTGAAGATAATTTCTATCGCTGTTTCGTGAGAACTCTGTGTTTATCAGTAAATCGCAAGCAGCCAGGAGAAAACAGGAGCAACGCAGGGAAATCTAACAGACCTCGTAACGATACAAATAAAAAACATGATCAAACCAAACACATACATAGACACTGTATAGATCAGACAAAGGCACAGACACGCTTCGCCAGCTTTAGCGATAAGACAATTATGTATATAGTTAATTGCCGTAAAATTAGATTTTGCGCTTTGTACAGGTCAATGCGAAATACGATAAGGATAGAACAATTATCCTTCGTATCTTGCATCACAATCGCTTATTTTATACAACGTTGGCATTTTATGCCGTTTGCTTCTTTTGTATTTGATACATGCTTTGAATTATTGTTCATTCATTCAATGCATCTTTATATGCATTATTCATTAATGCATTACGATTCGAATGTCAAACGTGGTGTAGTGAAAGAATTTTACCAGTGATGGGCAACTATGTCCATGAGGATCTGGTGCACAGATGTGCAAGAGGTGTGCACTCATGGGCATTCGTTTGGTAACGACGGTATTTACATGTGGTCATCTAGAGTGAGATGTTGCTGAGCCTCTCTAGACTCTAAGTTATTTTCAGCTGTATCTAAATTCTATATCAAGTTGTCCTCGAATCCTTATAGTTTCTGTGGCCCTACTTGAGTTGTGTAATCGTAGGTTTTATGATCCTTCGACCTTCTTTAAATTCTGTGACCCTAGATTCTATGACCTTCTCTAGGTTCGATGACCTTACGTTTTTCCTAACCTTCATTCTAAGCTCCTCCTATGCATGCATGCTGCCGCCCATAAGCTCTCCAGCAGGCACTTTATCTGACCACCACTCAATTAGAACAGTCGCTAAAAACGCAAAATTTTAATAGTTCTATTTAAAACAATTCATACACTGTAATGTAACCTTGAAATTTGATAGCGTTAGTCGAAGCGAAAAAACGAATATTTTTTTTTAAATAAATTGTTCTAATTTGAATTTTCATTTGTTTTTTCTTTTATACAGAAACGAAAAACTTTACGAGCCTCAATAGCCGCACAACGAAGGATTCAAAGCAATGGCCTTAATGATCCTACGACCGTGAGTCTGGCGGTCGATACAGTAGCTAGATCGAACGTGGCTCCACGGAGTCCTGGTCGAGCATGGCCAGGAGACAGTGATATTCGTCAACGACCTATTCCTCGCTCAGACGATATCAGATTATCGCCGGCCGCTTACACTGCAGACGTTTCGCATCTTATTGTGTGAATAGATTAATTCCTAACAATTGAGAATACATCTTAAATATCAAAATGTTGTATTATTGTTGGAAAAACAGAAGTTTGTTATAAGACATGTGTATTGGTTGGTCAATAGTGGAAATTGCCACCTTTTTTTAAGTGGGCCAACAATTGTATCCAACATAGATTCCATGTCACTTAGTATGTAGGGCCAACAGATTGTTTTTTTCTATAGAACCAAATGTTGATCATTTATAATAAACCAATAATAAGCAAACAGTTGGCTATACTACATTTCAATAAAAGCTTTTAAAGATATTTGAAGAAATTGTAAGTGATTTATAATTATTGCTTGTTATAATAATTATATATATGTATAAATTGTATATATTAAAAGGTAAACAATTATTTTGGTAACAAACTTACCTTTACAATTTATACATGCATCTAATTATTATGAATAATTATAAGTTATTTCTGATTTCCTGCCTCTTAATTGTATTTTCACAGAATGTCTTATGTTAGGATTAGTTCCTTTACTTATTGAATTTATACTTTAATTTAGTAATTGTCCTGAAATAAAAAACAATTTGTACATTTTATAACTATTCTATTTATAAATCTGTAATATTATGTTTTTTATATTATATGTAATTTCAATAAAATACAAGATCCATTTTTTATCAAAATCATTGTAAATGATCTTTTTAAATTTTTCTCATATTTTTTTAATTCTTCTTACTCTCCTTCCCATTCAGCTATCACTTAATATTCACTTCCTGTGTGCTTGCTTGTTTCAAGGATTTTAGTTAAATCGTTTGAAAAAAGGTCTCCTTTCTTTTTATATATTTACCTGTTTGTCGCATCACAGCACACACGTTACGACCCCACGTGCTTCCTTCAGAAATGGTGAGACAAGCTAGTTTTTTGCGTATGCGTAGATGCAATGGCCGGTTGCAGCTGTGTGTCCATCATGTGGCGAAAGTAGTGGGGTAATGCTACAAGCGCGAAAGTTTTTTACTAAATTGATTTTATTTTAACCTTCCGGAACTGAAAATAAAAAATGAATTCTAAGATTGCAGACAGTAAAACTTGAGAAAGCCAATTATCGCCTAACGACTGAAAAATACGGTCTATTATTACATAATAGAAACAATTAGCAAAATTCAATTTAGGATATAAACAGTTTTTGATTATACTAATGTTTCTGATGTCTGTAAGACGGAATTTAAATGTTGGTCTACGGTAGATAACCCAGTATTATCTTGTCATTGTAAATTTTTTAATTAACCAATTATAGTAATTGTTGACTCAACATTGAAAATTTCATGACAAACTATCATAATTATTGTAAATAAATCATAATTGCAGTAAAAACACAGACTAGTTTTTAACTACTGGTTACGGTTGGGCAACCATAAATACTACTGCGGTAACTATGTATAGATTATAAGATTCGTTTTGTGCAATAAAAATATTGCTTTATTGCTTTACCATTTTGTCTGCAGCATTCCTGTTAAATTCTTAAATTTCTACAATTGAAAATTTCTAAAGTGCCATTAATTACATATTATGCGCAATTTGTGTATTGATATATTTATAATCAATTTTTAAATATTTTTAAATAGCATCGTTTATTTCATAAAACATACAGTAACTAGAATTAACGTGAATTGCATTTATGATAATCGCTACATATTAATGCAGTTGAATGTATTTAACACATTTACTATTCTTTATGATTATAAATAATATTATTGAAAAATAAAAACAGAATTTAATTCGATTTAATAAAAAATTAATTGATAATTGATAATTTGATGCGTACAGAAATATATTAGTTTGTCTGTGAGTTTCCTTTCTGGCTTCACTTTATTGTACCATGACCACAGACGTAACACATGAGAACGAATTGTGTCAAGTTTCTCACCGCTGTCATCTGATGAACATTCATTGTGCACTGTATCAGATTTGTTTTGTAGGCGGTTTGTAAGTAATTTAATTAATTTATAGTTAAAAGATATGGCGGATACAACGGTAGACGCAACACGCCGTTTAAACGTTAAGAAACAGACCCTGGATGACGCTTATGCAGCACCTGCAAATTTTCTCGAAATTGACGTGATTAATCCAGTCACACACGGTATCGGCAAGAAACGATACACTGATTACGAAGTTCGCATGAGGGTAAGTAATACTCCCCTTAAATTTGAAACTTGTTTCTACTTGTTAATGTCACATTATACGTTCACGAACGTTTTCAGTTTTGCAAGATCTACCAGATCTTGTTTTTACCACTGTAGAGCAATAAAATATGATGTGGCTTTATTTTATCAAAACAGACAAACTCCGTAAAACTATTACGTCAAAAATTTTATCCGTTTACGTTCATTTATAAATTTTATGGATTGTTTGTTTCACTTTCTTGTAGTTTACAATATTTTTCATAGAAAAAATTTAATGTTGCAGTTTAGTAGTTATATGCTATGCATAAATTGAAGATGTAACATGTGTACAATTTAAGAATTTGCTAAAGTAAGTTTTAGATATTATATGTCAATGTAGCTTTCTAGAATAAATGTATTATTTATTAAAATAAAGGTATAATAGTAGAAAATGAAGGTGACATTAATAATTTTGTTATAGACAGTAATCAGACGTGTCATGGGCTGTGTCTGCTATCTTACTTTTGATGATAAAAGCATATAGATACAAAAAATATGTATGCTATTGAAGCCATTTATAGACCTTAGATGAATATATGAGAATCATCTAACATTTAAGAATTAGCACTGAATATAAATGAATTGATTTTGTTATTATTTGATTATTGTGTAATAATATGATTATTATATCTTATATTTTTACAGTTTGTAGGTCAAGTTAGTTACATATTGCATTTTGTATAACATTTTAGATACTAAAAGAATAAGATATGAAACATGAAATTTTTATTTCTTTCAGACAAATCTTCCAGTTTTTAAAGTGAAAGATTCCACTGTAAGAAGAAGATACAGTGATTTTGAATGGTTGAGAAATGAATTAGAAAGAGATAGTAAGGTTAGTTGATAAATTACTTGGAGAACATGGAAAGAATTCTTAGTTATCCAATGAAACTGAAGCATTAAATAATTTTTATTATAAATGTACTAACTCACCTTGTTTATTTAATGTCTAAATTGTTTATTATGAACATATAGATTGTAGTGCCTCCACTACCAGGAAAAGCTTGGAAACGTCAAATGCCTTTTCGAGGAGATGATGGTATTTTTGAAGAAGATTTTATTGAAGATCGAAGAAAAGGTTTAGAAGCTTTTGTTAACAAGTAAGTGTATGAAGAGAATGTATAAACAATATAAAGTAATTTATTAAAATATCAAAATCTATTAAATTGTGAAACATACAGTAAGTTATTAAAACAAAATTATGCATGATGTTTTAGAATAGCAGGACACCCATTAGCACAGAATGAACGATGTTTACATATGTTTCTGCAAGAACCTGTAATAAACAAGAACTACGTACCTGGAAAAATACGTAATACATAAGTTATAATAAGACTTATTGCAAGTATATTTTCCTCCCCACCTTTAATATGTGAAGTTACTTTTGATTATTTTAAAAATTTATGCTAAATTTTGTTAAGATCCTTCTGTATTTATGCAATATTTAATCGAGCTTCTCGTGCTGTGATGTTAAATTAGAATATTTGTTTTTGGAAGTTCTTGTGTTTAAAACACATGGTAAAATATTCAGAAGGATCTTTTACGTATCATTATCATTGAAAAAATATGAATAAAATCTTTACTTTTCATTTTATTTTTTGCAATAATACTATTGGCATTCTATGGCAAGATTTATAATTTGATATTTATCATTTCCAGAAATTGAAAAGTAAAGTTGTATACAAAAATCTAATTAATACAATAAGTATATAAAATTCATAAATTTCACAATATGGCTTAAAAATAAAATATCAAAATAAAAGTTATTCATTTACAAGTTGTTCAGTAGAAATAGTATTAACACTTTTACTTTTTTAAAACAGTTCAGGTCATTTTCTTTGTACACATTGTAGATTTTTATATATATATTACAGAAATATTTTAGCACTGAAAATATTTAAAATGAAAAGAAATAAATGTAGTATTTTACTAAATCGATTTCTACTGGACAGCTTGTAAGTAGTGTATAAATTATAGTTTGTAAACTGTGCTATTACAAGCTAAGTGGATAAGATAAATTGAATTAGAAATGGAGGTGAAATCTTTTAAAAATTGTTTATAATTTGATATTCTTTACATAAAGAAATGTTAAAAATCTAATCTAAACTTTTTTGAACTTATATCTTTGTTTACTGATGATAAAATATATATATCACCAACACGTTTTGAATCTCCTCGTTACACTTCTCGGTTTACTATGAGAACAGAATACAGAAATAGTATCATTACTGTACTGAAATCAACAGTAAAATCAATGTTTTCAGTTTTTAATTTATGTTGGGCGTAACACTTCTTGAACGTGTATAGTTATCAAAGGGACTATGTACAGGGCATAGATTAAACTATTTTACAGTTTTTCATTTAAGTTATAGTTTATATTGCAAGTTTCATTCTAATGTACATATTACGTGCGCGTGCATGCGCACCCATTTACACCAATATATAAACAGAAGTATTGTACATCATTATAAATAATAAGACACATAAGACAAATTGAGACTGTAACTTACATAACTACTTTAAAGCTTCAAATAAGTAGGAAAACAGTTTCTACCTTAATCGAAAGATGTGTAAGGAACTTAATTAATAAACAAAGGAGGCAGCATTGCTAGTTTAGAATACACTATGTTGAATAACTTTCACACAAAAATTCACGTTATTCTTTTAAAAACTTCTACAAATATTTCATGAAATTACCACTCTTACTTATGCTACATTCTTTTTATATACATATCTTTGAGTAATGGATACTGAACATACTCCTTTACTGTATCTCTCTTCTTTGAAATAAAGTACATAGTTGTAACCATCTAATTTCCAACCTTGAACTTGTAATATATAAACAAGTGCATTGCTAATACTGCATTTTATGCTACCTTTTTTCTGTTTAAAAGATCCAACTATATAATCGTTTGTTTATAAGTATACGTCTTGTTTAGTTTTAATGAACTTCTTATTTTTAAAGTACGTTTCTATGTATTTGCTCACACAGTCTTGCTCTGAAAAACAAAAATATAAAATATGTTAGATACAAAGTTTTATTTTTATTTGTCGAGTATTTTACGAAATACTAACCAGGAAATGTATTTTCAATAATAAGCATATCAGCTATATGCTTTGCAACTACTTTAAAAAGTTGTCTGTCTTTGATTCTTCTTTTTTTATAGAATGGCATTAAATGTTTTACAATCCATGGTGCTATTCTTTCTTTACATGCAGTTAAATGTTCTTCTATACAAATTGGCGAATCTGGCATCATCTCCTCGTCATCAGATTCTCCAAACAATTCAATAAATTTTTGTTTTACACGACCATGTCTTCTATAATTTTTCAGAGATAACTCTGTCATTTTCGCCTTTAACTTTGATACTTGGTAAACACGTTCAACGAACCAAATACTGCTTAGTCTACGTTTTTGTTTACTTTCTTTAGTTTCACTTTCTACTGGTAATGATTTATTAGATTCTCTAGCTTTCATTTCTTTATAGTAACTAAAACTATATTTTCCTTTACTTATATCTGGTGCTTTTACATTATTACTTTTTATAGGATTGCTCTTTACATTGCTATTATTTTCAGGTATACTACTAGATTGATTGGAGTCTTGTGGAAGAAGAAAGTTAATTTCTTTACTCACACTTGCTCTAGTAACACCAGAGTGTTTCTCAATCAGTGTCATAAGATCACTACTATCATCACTGTCACAAAACATGTCTTCCATGTGTTGCAAAAGTGAATCTTGTGAATTTTCTTCATCATTCTGAACATTAGATTGATTTATGATTTGAGTATTAGAACTGTCTTGTATAAAACTTCCTTCTTTCATTATGCTATCTTCTTTCATTATGCTATCTTCTTTCATTGTGTCTTCATCAAATATCATTTCATTATTGATTTCATTGCTTGATTCATTACTAGGTTCTGTGTCATGGAAATAAGTGGAATTTACAGTAGGTGAAGCAGCACCATTACAAACAGTCAACTGTGAAAATATGTCCGAATTTTCATTTTCAATCTTTACATCATCTTCTTCATTAGCCTGTGGTGTTTGTTTTGTAGAAAGTAATTCTTCAGAATTAGATGTAATGCAAATGCTTTGAATATTATCAAGTTTTTCTAACTCCACCCATGAATTAGTTGTTTGAATTCCAACATCCACTTTGGTGGGTGGGGTTTCTAAAAATATTATTAACTTTTTATAGGTTTTTTTCTGTGATGTATGTGATTTTACATCTGAAATCTGAAAATATCTTAATTTCAATTATTAATTAACTTACCAGTTACAAATATTTCAATAAATAGGCTTACCAGTTTTAACATGTTTTGTCTATATAATGTTGCTTCTAGAGATGATCGAACTGCAAGTAATTCCATTTGATTTGCACATTTTTTTAACTGATCACACGGAATATCTTCATTCTTATCTTTATAACAAAGAATGTAATTAGTCAGCAGGCATTTGTGAAGATATGAAAAATACACAGCACGAACCTGTAATGCAATTAATATACTGATGTTTAAACTGTCAGAAATGAATTAAAAGCAAACTTTTGATTAAACAACTAAACACATATAAAACTTAATGTTTGTAAGAGTATTCTATCATGTATAGAAAACCTGCCGTAGTGGTCAGTCGAAGAAATTCATCATTTTGATCAGTAGGTATATGAAATTTGTTGGCTGAAAGTGAAGGTAATGATATTGATAGGAGATTGTTGATGTCTTCAAGACTAATGTTATCATCATCAGTATTTCCGATGTCGAATTCTTCTCGCTCTTGTTTCATTGTACAGGGAAAGGATGTATCCATTTGTTCCATTGATGAATCATTAAAATTTTATTCAATTATTTTAAAATTATTGCGTCCAAGTCTTGTAAATATTCACCGTGAGGTAATGTCATGTTCAACGTTATACAGAACGTAAACTTATGATTCTATAAAATAAATATGACGAGTATTAAAACATGCATTAATATTTGTATACGCAAAAAGCAGTTTCATATAATTAAGTAAAAGTAGTAAACACGCTACTGTTGTGTATTTATATTTAACTACAAAATTCCGACTTGTTAGTAACTAACTTCATACATGTCGGAACTTCAAATTATCGAATAAATGAAGCGAGTTATTACACAATTAAAAGATTGATTTGAACAATATTAGTGAATATAAAATCTAAAATAATTCAAAAATTTAAAAGACAATACGAATTCAAAGGAATTTTATTAATATTATGCTATAAATTGGTTGAATGATTGACTGAAGTGCGATGCATCGGTATTTGTATGAAATAGACATTGGCGTAGGTAGGTAAGGATTGAGTGATCCTGGGTCTCTACATATGAAACTAAGTACATATGCTTATATAGGATGTGAAAAATTAAAAAATTTGTATGGTTATAAATTTTAAATTCTTAAATTTTCAAATACTACTTTCATACTTCTTAATAATGATGCGAAATCTCATTGCTCTAGACAAAAATCATAGCTACGCCAATGGGAACAAATCAATTATCCACTATTTTTTTACTCATGTACATGATGCATTAAACTCCCCTTACCATTTTCATGCTACATCCTGTAGTAATATCTACTTTTACGACCAGGGAAAGGAAATCTTATACGTTTAATTACTAAAAATAAAAATATATATGAATTTCGTTTATTATAATAGATTTACACTTTACAGACAATTATGCAATTATCAAAGTTATAATATTTATAGATGCTTTTAAAAGAATATAATTGGTTTAGAAAAATATGAAATGAGAAACTAGTACTATGTTTGAATAATTATCCTGATTTATTTTTGTACTCTTGTAATATTATTCTTTATGAGATAAATGCCAAATCTGTGTAAATATACAGTGAGTTCAAATGTTTTATACATTAAAAATAACTCTAAAATATTTTAGTTATCTCTAGTTTCTGGTTCTTCGTCGTACGCTGCCATAACTTTTTCCATTATTTCCCAAAGTTTATCTCTTGTTAAGTCCTTACAGAAAACCTGTAAATGATCAGAATTATAAATGTTAGATGCTTAAAAAGATCCATCATTTTTTCCAATTTGGTTTAAATTTCTTACATTAAACCAAGGTTGTTGATCACATTCATCCATCAATGGTACTACAACACCATAAATTTGTAATGACAAATTGATACAAGCAATTGCTATTAAATTTGGTGGATAATCAAGTATAGCTGGGGAATGATGAAAATCTTGCAAAAGAGCCATACTGGTTTTTGCAACTGGATATTTAGACCATTCCTCTTCTCCAAACCATGCTTGCAAAGATCGTAGGTAATGTAACATGTACTAAAATAATAATATCACATTATTTAATGGAACAAGATTTATAATTTGTTTTTATAAGAAGAATATTTTGATATTTACCTTATGTGGATGTATAGGAGTTACTTGAAATTTCAGCATACGCATAGTCAAAAGTTCTGCTTGTACAATTGCATCTCTCATACTCCAGTACTGATCTCCTAATTCTAATGGTTGAGATCCTCTATGTAATGTACTGTAAGATACATTCATTACATCTCTTATTTTTAAATTATCATCTTTTACTTTGCCTGCTAAGTAAAGGCAAGTTGCAGCAATTAGCTAGAACATTTGTATAAAGAATGATTATTAAATAATGTATACATATTATGAATTTTAATTATTAATGAATTATTTACATAATTATCATAACCCCCTGGAGCTGCCTCTTTTATAAACCTGTGATATAATGTTGCAGCTGTAGCGATAGTCAATGGATGTGCTTCTAGTTTTAAACCTATAATTATACACATAGTTAATGCAAGTTTTTAAAAATATCAAAATTAGTTGATAAAAGCTTACCACATTCAAATATAAATCGTGAAACAGTAAAATTATCACTACTTTTAGTGTAATCAATTGTAATACTTTTTTGTAAAGTATTCCTTTTTTCTCGTTGCATAGCTAACACATCAATAACATCTTTCATTTTAGAACTGTAAATATATAATATATATTTATTAGTTTTATGCAGTGAGATATATAAAAATTATATTACAATCATATAATTATAAAAACAAATAATGTAAACCATAGACCGGCATATTACTTTACGAGTGCATAAAACGATTATTTGTAGTAATTTTTATATGCTTTTCAATTACCTTAGCGTTTCTGTACTAGTGGGTTCCGTTGGATTCATTTTGACAATTTTCAAATTGAATCCGTCTATAAACAATGAACTTTAGTTTATTATAGGTTACAACGACAATACGTATTTATTTTCTGCACACTACAGCGTCAATGTTACCAACATACCAAACCAAACACATTTTGGTTGCGTTTTCTTCGCGCGTGTTGGGTTCTCCAAACTTGACAATTTATGCAGTGAAGGTGTTACAGAGGTAGCATGGCATAATGTTGACATTTTAAAAATGTAAATAACTTTATTTTAATATGTATATAAGAATGTAAAGGCATATGCAAGTCATGTCAAAAGAATATAAGATCATTATATTTCACTTTGTATAACATACAAAATATTGTACTTTTATTTATTAACAATATGCCACTGAAAGGAATAAAAGTTTTAGAATTAGCTGGTCTTGCACCAGGTCCGTTTTGTGGAATGATATTAGCTGAATTCGGCGCATCCGTGATTAAAGTAGACAAGGTATTACATGATTGATTTTATTTAATATTAATCCAATGATTGTAACATTAAGATATACCTATTACAATTAACATGTTTTTCAGATTAATACATTTTATAGCATTGATTCACTTGGCAATGGAAAACGATCAATTGCATTAAATTTAAAAAACCATGAGGGTATTAATATATTTAAGAAGTTAAGTAATCAAAGTGATGTGCTCATAGATCCATTTAGACCTGGTATGTATTTGGTAAGACATATGTTACTTACAAGAATTCATTTCTTTTTTTTCTTAAATTATTCAAATTAAAGGATTTATAACAATTTAGGTGTAATGGAGAAAATGAAATTGGGGCCAGAAGAACTTATGAAGGCAAATACAAGATTGATATATGCTAGATTAAATGGATTTGGTAACAAAGGACCTTATGCTAATATGGCTGGACATGATATAAATTATTTAGCTTTATCTGGTAATAATCCTGCAATTTTATTTAAAATGTTAAGTATTTTTTAAAATAGTTTTAATGATATTTAGGTTTATTATCTTTATTTGGTCGTTATAATCAGAAGCCAACACCTCCAGCTAACTTGGCTGCTGATTTTGGGGGTGGTGGATTAATGTGTGCCTTTGGAATAATGTTAGCATTGTTTGAACGTACTAAAAGTAATACTGGTCAGATTGTTGATACATCAATGGTAGATGGAACTGCATATTTAGGAAGCTGGCTCTTTAGATCTCAAAAACTTCCAGGATTATGGGGAAATCCACGTGGCAAAAATATGTAAGCATCTTTAAAATAAAATAATTTTATTTGTAAATTCACTTATATATGATATATTTTATAATGTTTAATAGATTGGATAGTGGTGCACATTTTTATGACACTTATGAAACAAAAGATGGACAGTATATGTGTGTTGGAGCCATTGAGCCACAGTTTTACCAAATATTTTTAGATAAACTTGGCCTTTCAGAAGATGAAATGCCACAATTTGATAAATTTGATGAAAATCGTGAAATACTAGAAAAGATATTTAAACAGAAGACTCAAACTGAATGGTGCTCTATATTTGATGGCACAGATGCTTGTGTAACACCTGTTTTAAATTTAGAAGATGTTGCATTACATGCACATAATAAAGAAAGAAAGACATTTATGTCTAACAAAGATGGTACAGTAATTCCAAATCCTACTCCTCATTTATCTCGTACTTCTGGAAGGTCAAAAGGATATGAAAGAAATCCTGAAAGAGGTGAGCACACAACAGAAATTCTTACAGAATTAAATTTTAAACCTGAAGAAATAAGTACCTTAATATCAACTGGAGTTGTTAGTCAGGGTATAAAACGTTCTAATCTTTGATCACACAATATATATATTACAAGATTTTTAAACTTTTATTGCAATACATAAAAAAGTACAGTAATTTAAGTAAAAAGTATGTTAAATATATATTTTTTTTAAATAATATCTGGTCCTTTCATTTATTAAAATTTGTATATATTTTAATATATTTCACTGTTATACTAAGTAAGAAAATCTTGTAGAGATTCTTGTGTCTTTTAAAAAGTCAATGTTTAAAACTCATAAGGATTCTTATTCAAAAATTTTTTAATGACAACCACAGCTGTTAATGACCATATTTTTGTATTTTCTTAATACAACATTACTGTCATCAAGAAAATAAAGTACCGATATTGGTGATAGTTTTGAAGGTGCACAACATGGTTTTGGTATCTCATTTGGTTTCATAAGATGAACTAAAGTTTGTACAATAGCATGATTAGTCGCGTTCATACGAATGTTCAGTGGAAAACTACACTCCCCACTGCAATAATAAGCATTATATCCTTCTGGTGCTATAATCCAATCCTGCCATTGAAGATCTTTGAAACTTACATAAAGTGTTTTCATGCTGCATATTTGTTCTCTTCTCTTTCTTGTTACAGAATCAACATAAGGATTTTGAACTTTAGTAAAATGTTGTTTTTCAAGTACAGTATCTTTTTTCTGTTTAAAGATTACTTCACGTTTACTGCGATTACCACTATTTTTGAAAAATCCCACCATAAATGGTTGCTTATCTGGGATTCCTAAAACACCTACAATTCCTATGTCATCTGGTCTCATAATATGACCAGTATAGTTATCATGATATACTGCTAAGAATAATCCTCGATTTTCTTTTGGGTATTTGATCCAATGTTCAAGAGCTTCATTAATATTTAAAGTTATCCAATCTTCCTTTCCAGTTACAGTATTTGCTGAGTCAATAAAATGTTTAATTCGTCCTCCACTTTTTGTTCGTGCCACTCTATATACTGCCACTGTGTAAGTTTCATTGAATCCAATATTTTCATGCAAGCTTTGATATAATCTTAGTTCAGCTGCAATGATATATTCCTCCCGCGGTACTTCCGACACATCGAACCAAATTCTTTTACCACGATTAGTTTTAGATGCATTACCTGAGTATGGATTATGAGCACCAAATGTCATTATAAAATCACTCTGGTCAATAACATTAATGTAATGATCATTTAAATTAAACTCTTCTTGAATTGACGTGTCTCTATCACTGGACAATACATTTTTGTAAATATTCAATAGAAATTTAGGTGCAGACCTCTTTATGAGTAAAGCTCTATGCGTGATTCTATTTGGTTTCTCAGGTAATTCCAGAATATTTAACAATTCGCGTTCGATTTCTCGTTTCTGCTTGTAATTAAAAGCTTTATATAAAACTGTTTGATTGAAACCATTGTCTATGTAAAATCCACTTGATGTTTCAGAATTCGCATAAAATATGATTATTAAAAGAAATACTACCTCTACAACATATATTTTGTACATTTCAAATTAAAATATAATATAGAACATAAAATATTTTTCAAAGAACGATATTCGTTTCATACTTTATTCAGATATTATTAAACCACAAAATAATATTTACTTTCGTAGAAGCTTCTCATTGGTAGATGTATGTTTGTATACAAACAATGTACAGACTGGATTTGATACAAGAAATAAACCATTGCCTATAAATGATTTCTATGATACATATCACATGATACTTTTTGGTAATTCACAATTCTGATTACAATAATTTTTAATTGCTTTGTATACTATGCTAGACTGTTGTTAAAACATGCATCAGTATATTACTAATCAGTCATCATAATTAATTTCGTAGGCTTTCTCAAAATATTAATTGCAACTTATAGCATAATGCAACTGGTGAATTGCACCTTGCAAAACTAATAATTTGGAATCTAATAGCACATAATCGCAGTGTACAGTTTTATTATAAATAATGAATATTTATTACAATCTACATCAACAAGTATAAAGCATATTCATTAAATATCGTTACTGCGGAGGCGGCGGTAGTCGTTCAGATTGTTCTTTACGAGGATCTTTGCAAACAGGTGGCATAGAAGCTTGCTTTATCGGTAATAAAGATCCAAATAAAACATGTTGAATAACAGGAAATTTCGCTAAAACCTAATATTTAAAATGCATTAATGTTTAGATTATTATTATGTAGTAAGTTACTATTATCTGTTGATATTAGTTTGTACCTCAGCTTTGTACATTTTAATAAGACCACTGTTTACTTTGACCCATGAGGACACTGCACTAACATTCCATAATTGATTGGAATGCTCAGCAAATGGACCTGTCTTTACCTGGAATGATATTATGTTTACAACAAAAGTATAATATACTATAGTTGTACATCAATATATGTATTTATATAAACCTTTGAAATGAATTGAATGCAACCAAGGAACATATACTGCTTGCTGAATGATTCAACAATGTCCTGATCAACAAAATGACGAGGTTCTATACGAGGATGACCTGGAATATATTTATGATTTATATATTTCGGTAATAAGTTACTAATAATGGTAATAAAAATGTGAAAATACCAATTAGCTGAGCACTCCCCCATATAAAAGGAACAAATTGGTAGTCATCTAAACTCCAAACACCATGACTACCTGCTGGTTCCATTCTGTATGTTAATTGCAATCTGCGAACTAATTCAAGATATCTTCCAAAAAAAGAAGTAACTTTAGTTTATAAATATGTACATAAAATATTATAGTATTTACATTCAATGAAAAAAGTATTACCTATTAAATATTTTAACAACTACTGCAACTTTATCCTCCTGTTTGAAAGCACCAATTTTGAACATGCAACACAGAAACATCAAAAATGCCATTTCATGTCCTGTACCATAATCTATACGTGTTGCATTACCAAAACCTTCATACAAATATTCTACTATCTCTGGGACTGCTCTATATAATTTTTCTGGCAATACTTTTTGTAATTCTTCCACTCCATTCTGAAATACATTAGATTAATAAATTTTTAATAATGTATTTATAATAATAAGACATATTTACCTGTTGTAATCTTTCATGCCATATTCTAAATGATTTGTTACCAAACCGTTGAGGTTGTTCAGTTGGAGGTATTTGTGTTATCCATTCATCAAATTCATTAAGCATTTGTATAATATTGTCTATTATAGGACTATGTGGGCATTCAACATTTAAAGCCTTTCCCTGAACTGACTCATTTAAAGCTAGTATAAACCCCAAGTATTCCTACAATAGTTTCGTAATTGTTATATATTAAACAAATAATAATATATAGTTAAAAGAATATATGAAGTCTTACAAAATATGCTTCTGACTTTTCCCAAATTGCCATGTCAGTTGGTGTTTTAACTGACTTTTTTGGAACAACAAATTCATGGTCATCCGCTAAAATATTAAAAATCATTACTTTATCTTCATAATTCATTTTTATATTTACATATTACACTTACGTGATACTGGTCCTCTTCTTGCACGTTCATTTGACGTTGACATGGTAGATATTTTGAAAATCAATTATTATTCTGCATAGAAATATGAATACTTTAAATCGTTTTTAAAAAATAAGGCAATGTACTCAAATAATACTCGAGAACGACGTTGCAAAACACTTGAACTACATAATGCTGCTATTACTAGAGTATGAATCATTCAAATATTTTATAGAGTATAGTAAGTAACAATTCAAATTATAAAAATTAAATACTAAAACAATTAAAAATGTTTCCCGATAAAGAGGTTTCCTCACGAAAGCAGCTTACCACCAGCAAAAATTGGAATACAAAAGTTGATAGTTTCTAATTACAAAAATTGCAATTAAATTATTAAAATATGTATATGTGCAATTTTCATACACGAATTTATTTTATTTTCGGAAAGAAAATATGACATCTTTTTATTAATCAGAAGTTGGTGAAAAATGCATAAGTAAACATACCTGGTGATCCGTATATTCTATTCAACAAAACACTAAACTTATCATGCGACAACTTTTCATTCATCTGCGCATGTAGTTCTAATTGGTTCGATCATGCTTCGGTTTGCACATGCGTTTTTCTGATGTTCGTGGTATCGGCTAATGTATACCGTGATCTTTTATTTTGTATATTTCCTATATCACCAGTTCATCGGCTTATTTACGTATTTTTGTCTACTGTATATATGATCAACAGAATGGACAGCATGTGGCTAAATAGAGAGATGAATCTATTGAAGTTAGTCGCATTGCGCGAATCGAATATCGTCTCTCGGTGAACAGACTATAGTTCAAAATTTGTCAGAGATAACCGGCAATAACAGTTGTGTATCAAAACTGCGTCTAAACGATGATACCTGTATTTATCATAAATATTTATGAACTTATGATTACTATTCCTATTTAACATAAATATATACAAATTATGAGAGAGAAGGAATGGACAGTTAAATATGTTTGATATTAATCAATATTTTTAATATTATATCAAAAACGTATTATTTTTGTTTGAAAATTTATACATGCCAGGTATGCAAATTGTACTGTAAAAGAGTTCATAAGAAATTTCATACTTAACATCATTCTTGAATTACAGCTATGAACTATTCTGAAGAACAAATAGAACAAAAACGTTTATTGGCTTTACAACGTAAAAAACAAGCTCAAGTAAAAAGCAATCCATTTAGTTCTTCAACAACACGAAACAGTATTCCATCCACCAATAGCAATGTCAGTTTTAATAAAAATAAGGAAACAAATGCAAATAAATCTTTTGGAAATTATGGTGCAAAATCTTATGGACATAATGCTGACTCTAAATCAAACTTTGGAAACAATTCAGCTAGAAATACTCCAAAATTTAATAATAAACAAAAGAAACGTTTTAGTCCTATTTCAACACGGAATTTCTTTGGACAAAAATCATGTATTACAGGAAAATGTTATATGATAACTCATGAAAGATTTGCTTTGGAAACATCTGCATATTTTCCTCCACTTATTGAAGCTTTAAAATTGATTCCAAGCAGATCATATGGTAATATAACAAGGCTGCTTACTATATCTTTAATCTGATATTATAAAAGAACAAGTAAATATAACAGTATATTTTTAGATATGAAAAGTAAAACTTGGAATTTTAATTTGAAGGATTATGAAACTGTAATGGAGAAAATTATTAATTTCAAGACTGACATACAAGTAATAGGATTACCGAAAATTGTTATTGAAGTAAGATTTAAGTAAAATTTAAATTACATATGAACAGTACCATTGATAAATTTTTGCAATACAATCTATTTTCATTTCAGCTTTTTAGAAAGAATAATAATTCTGAGAATATTGATGAAAACATTGATTTATCAAAAATTGATCCCCAGTTGTTATCAAGTTTGATGCCTTTTCAACGCAAAGGAATATGGTAAAATTTGATTCTTAATCATTTACTATTATGTTCCATTGCTGTACAATTTAAAGTAAATATCTTTTAGCTATGGAATATCTAAAAGAGGCCGTTGTATGATTGCTGATGATATGGGTTTAGGAAAAACCATTCAAGCACTGGGCATTGCACATTACTTTAAAGAGAATTGGCCCCTTCTTATTATTGTACCATCTTCAGTTAGGTTGAGTGCAAAAAATGTTATCCATTACTGTTTAAAAAGGGATATGTTATAATTGCATATATTAAAAATAATTCTTGCGATTTAGATACCAGTGGACAGATGCAATATATACATTTTTGCCATCTGTACCTGCCCAATATGTTCATCAGTTTGCAAATACAAAAGATTTTATTACGGGTAATAAAATTGTTATTACATCTTATGATCTCTTGGTACGAGCCGTGGACGCATTCGAGCGACATACATTTGGCTTTGTTATTTTGGTATGTATTATAGTATGGTACACTTACTTTAAACAGAAAGCTTGAATAGTCCAATTTATGTACAGGACGAATCTCACGCTTTAAAAAGTGTTAAGACTGCTAGGTATAAGGCTGCACAACGTATAGTTTCAAAAGCATGTCACGTTGTTTTACTTTCCGGGACACCTGCTTTATCGAGACCTATAGAACTATATTCTCAAATAAGTCTGATAATGAGAAATTTTATGGGGTAATGTAAAACATTGGTTAAACTTCATATGCGAGTAAATGAGAAAATACACAGATATATTAAATGAGAAAATTACACAGATATCAGGAATATGGAATTCGATACTGTGCTGGAGAGAAATCTTCATTTGGTTGGGACTTTACAGGGTCATCAAACATGCAAGAATTGCAATTGTTACTGAAATGCACGTGTGTAATTCGAAGATTGAAAAATGAAGTATTAGAAGAATTACCATCAAAGAAGAGGTAAGGAATTTTTATTTTCTTCAATTTATTCTGTTATGTATGAATGTACGCATTTCTAACAGTCCTCCAATTGCAGGGAAGTAATTGTATTGGATCCAGATTTAATTAAAATTGGAACCAAGGAAATGAAGGAGATATCCGCAAAATTGGAGCGCAGTTCTTTAACTGGCATGGAAAGGCATAATACTCTTCTACAGTATTATAACGAATCCAGTATTGCTAAACAGAAAGCTATATGGTATGCTGTGTTGTTATGTTATTGCTATTGATGAATAATTTTATTAATTAACATAATGTTCCAGTGATTATGTTACAAACTTGTTAAGAAGAAAACAAAAATGTATAATATTTGCTCATCACCAGAATATACTAGATGCAATTTCGGAAGTTGCGGAGTCTATGGATATAAAGTAATTTTATTCTTATCTACAGTAATTGAAGATACATTTATTGTTTATCATCAACTTTATGCATTGTAGATATATAAGAATTGATGGGAAAACAAACCCGGAACGTAGAAAGTATCAGGTGGATAAATTTCAAACATCTGATGCTTATTTGGTGGCAATTTTATCCATAACAGCAGCTAATGCAGGAATTACTTTAACAGCTGCACAGCTTGTAGTATTTGCAGAATTATTTTGGAATCCTGGAGTACTTATTATTTGTATCATTTGATGTAAAAGTTGTTTCATTCAAATGTATTAATTATACATTCTATTGTAGGTTTTGTGCCAAGCAGAAGATAGGGTGCATAGGATTGGACAGAATGAAAATGTTGTAATTCAATATTTGGTTGCAAAACAAACGGCGGATGATTATTTATGGCCTTTAATACAAAGAAAGATGAACGTATTAAACGAAGTTGGATTAGATCAAGATTTTTGCCTTAAGGACGTTGATGTTACAAAGCAGACGTTAAATGAAAAACAAAGAACGTTAGATTTCTTATTTAATAAAGACTGCAAATTTGAAACCGATGAAGAGACAATACAAAATAGTGATAACACAATTCAACAAACTGAAAATTGTTTTGCCACAGCGTCGGGGGAATTTAACGAATTACTTGAATTGAATGATGAAGATTTCGACTTTAGTAATTGGGATGATATAGAATAAAACATTATTTTTGTACGGTATATTGTTAATATTGTGAGAAATACATATGTGATTGAATCGATGTTTAAGGAATAAAAGCATTTATAGTTTGAATAGATTTTTATATTTTGAAAGCGCCTCTAACTGAATAGTGAAATAAAACTAGGTCTGTTTCATTGAGGCGCTCCGCGCAGTGTTGGGCAGTCCCAGTGCATGCGTAGTAAGCTATCCGTAGAAGTCCTCAGTAGCGTATACACTTTGATGAAATATAAGGTATCATTAGGCCTTAGTAAGGAAAAAAAATAAATCTAAAGAAAATTGCAGGAAAGAGAATAAAAGGGTTAAATAATATAACAGATTATATATAATAAAAGTAATATTAAATTTATTTATAATTATTATTATTTTTTACGTTTGCAGTTGATTTGTTATATGAATACCAATATTTGTTGCAAGAGCAAAGGAAAAAGATACCGCTCGATTTTTATCGGATCTATGCATGTTAATAAAATAAAATCCATGTATTTTTTTGTTATTGTTTCTCTGATATTATAATTTTCACACGTATAAAATATAGTTATTCAAAGAGGTCCTTCCAAGTCGATATGTTGCAAAATGATTATTTATTAATATACATATATGTATATATCGTGAATTATACATATAATATAATATAATGGCTGCAAACGTAAAAAATAATAATAATCATAAATAAATTTAATATTACTTTTATTATATGTATATGTATATTAATAAATAATCATTTTGCAACATATTTGCAAGATTAAGTTAAAAAAAATTAATAAATTTAAATAATTACAACAATAAATTTGTTAATAAACTACCAAAAAATATAAAATTATAAAAAATATGACGTTAGAATAATTATACAGCAACCAATGAGAGTGGCTGCACGCTATTGGTGGATTACATGATGTCTGATTGGCTACTGTATACTAGCAATCACTCTTGCACTTCGATTTGATCTATTGGTCGATTATGTGATGTCTAATTGGCTACTGTAAACTACCAATCGTACTTGCACTTGAAGAGGTCGCCGCTGCTCAGTTTTGTTTTGGAAGTCG